AACATTTCAAAAGTCCGTAAACTGGTTTCTACTGCAGATCTGGAAAAAATCATCCATGCCTTTGTGTCATCACGCTTAGACTACTGTAACACTCTTTTTACTGGTCTCAGCAAAACCTCCCTCTCACGCCTTCAAGCCATCCAAAATGCAGCAGCCAGACTCCTAACCAAATCCAGCAGACGAGCTCACATCACTCCAGTTTTACAGTCCCTCCACTGGCTCCCGGTAGAATTTAGAATACAGTTTAAAGTTTTAGTCCTGACCTATAGAGCTCTTAACAACCAGGCTCCAAGCTACCTAACTGAGCTTTTATCCCCACACACCACCTCACGGAACCTTAGATCCACATCTGAAAACCTCCTGGCTGTTCCTCGAACCAGACTGAAAATCAAAGGGGACAGGGCCTTTCAGACTATTGCACCCAGACTTTGGAACAGTCTGCCTTCAAATCTCCGTCTCTCTAACACTGTAGAGGTCTTTAAATATCATCTTAAAACTCACCTTTTCCTCCAGGCGTTCCCTCCCTAAATGTTCTAAAAGATGGCTTTGTTCGGGTTCACACCTTCACTTTGTTTTTACTCGTGATTTTATTTACAATTTAATCACTGCTATTGTTTTTCTGATGTTTTTATTGGTTAGAGGTTTTTGCCCTGATCTTACTCATGTTGTGCAGCGCTTTGTGATTTATATCTGTGAAAGGCGCTCTACAAATAAACTTTTACTTACTTACTATGGCCGTAGCATGACTAATGGTGGCAAAGGAAGTAAGTGCTCGCCCCATAAACAAAGGGTTGCAGGTTTGCACCCCACTTTGTCAGCCACAGTTGTAGTGTCCATGGGCAAGATTGTCCTTGCATGTTGGTGGTGGTTGGAGGGACTGGTGGCTCCTGTGTACGGCAACCTTGTCAACATCAGTGTGTCGCAGAGTAGCTGGGGCTACAGAGGAGCTCATCAAGTCATCACCACTTGTATTGCGCTTTCCTCAATCAGAAGACTCCAAAGTGCTTTACACTACAATGAGTCATGCAGAATCTGGAGTACAGACACTTTTCTTTTCTCCTCCCTTATCGTTTCCCAAGGCTCTTGTCCTGTCGGTCTGTCCACAGAGCGCTTCTCTGCATTCCTCCTGAAACCTGGTTCTGGGATGGTTGTACCCTCTGTGCAGCTGTACCAGGACCAGAGTAAATAGGGTATGCATGGGGAGCATGAGTGGGTGTCTAGTTTTCATTTTTGTAAGTCTCTGGTTCTATGTGTATATGTGAACATAAGGGAGGGAGTGTGTGACTTTGTTTGTGTATGACTGTGTGCGTCAGGTGGGTTTTTTGACTCCTTCCCTCTCTTGGGTATTCCTGTATTGCTACATATCTTCGCCTGCCCTCGCCTGGTTTGATGTGACAAGCAAGCTGACCAAGAGAGTCTCTGACATTGGGAACCAGCTTGTCTGGGGCACAGATGAGTGTGAGAATGAAGAGCAGCCAGAAGGTCTTCAGGTTGAAAGAAGTAGAGGCAAACTGCAGCACAGGGACATTTTTCCAGAGCCAAAATGCTTCTGCATTTATTTCACCTCTTTCCTTTTACAGATCACCACATAACAAAAACAAAAAATCTCTCTAAGCCTCCACCTGGCTTCCTTTAAATACCCCCAGCAAATCACACCTGCAAACAATCCACCCCAATCATCAGTGCTCCAACATTAAATCCAGAGGGAAATAAACATCCACATAAAGGTACCTAAATGTTAACATAAACAAAAGACAAAACTGTTTTTACAATACAAAAAACATTTTCACACTAAGACACACTAAGACACATTTCAGTTAAAAAATCCCCCATCACAGTGCCAGCAGACTACAGAAATAAATTACAGGGACGAATGGGAAATCATCCCTACCACTTCGTCACAGTCCCCCCCCCCCCCCCCCCCTTAAGCTCGTTACTCGTCAAAGGAACGAGAAAGAAAGCCTGCAATACTATTTTTCTTCCCTGCCTTGTAACGAATCTTAAACTGGTAGGGCTGTAATGATAAATACCATCTAGTGATTCTGGCATTGGACTCTCATTTTTTGCATCCATTGCAATGCCCAATGATCTGTTTCAAGGAGAAACTCCCCCCCTATCAGGTAGTACCTTAAGGAGTCCAAGGCCCATTTAATGGCCAGTGCCTCTTTCTCAATAGTGGTATACTTCACTTCCCTGGGAAACAGCTTTCGACTAATATACTGCACAGGTCTCTGGACCTCCCCATCACCTTGCAGCAATACAGCGCCCAGTCCTACTCCTGAAGCATCTGTCTGTAGAGTAAATGGGAGAGAAAAATCTGGACATTGCAGCACAGGCGCATGACACAAACAGTTTTTCAGATCATTGAATGCATGCTCACTATCCCTAGTCCAGACCACTCGGTTGGGACATGACTTGCGAGTCAGATCACTCAAAACAGCTGATCTTGTAGAAAAACCAGGAATAAACAGACGATACCAGCTGGCCAAACCTAAAAAGGATCGTAGCTTCTTCTTGGTCGTAGGCAGCGGACAGGAAGCAAGGCTCTCCACCTTACTCACCTGAGGTCGAATGACCCCTCCCCCAATGACATATCCCAGATACTCCACTTCTGTTTTGGCGATATGGCATTTCTTAGGGTTGATCACCAGTCCTGCTGCCTGAATCCTGTGAAAAACATCAGTCAGATGCCTCACGTGTTCTTCCCAGGTCTCGCTGAACACCACGATGTCGTCGATGTAAGCCGCTGCATAGGTATCCGCTCCTCTCAGGACTATATCAACCAGTCTTTGAAACTTTGCGGGAGCTCCGTGAAGTCCAAACGGCATCATCCTAAAACGATAAAGACCGCTGGGCACCCTAAAGGTGGTTAAGTCCCTTGAGGACTCGGTCAGTGGAACCTGCCAATAACCTTTACATAGATCTAGTGTTGATAGAAACATAGCCTTGCCAAGGCGTTCTATGAGTTCGTCAACCCTAGGCATCGGGTAAGCATCAAAGACAGAAACAGCATTCAGTTTAGAAAAGTCCACACAAAACCGTTTTCGAGTGTCATTTTTCTTTGGTACTAACACCACAGGGCTACACCATTCCCCTCTAGAGGGCTCTATAATACCAGTGTCCAGCATGTCTTCCAACTCCTGCTTCAGTACAGACACCAACTTTGCTGGCACCCTGGAACTAGTGTCTCTGATTGGCATCTGGGTCTGAGACCGAAGCCTGATGTCGTGTTGAATCAGCAGCGTATAGCCGGGTTTAGTGCCAAACAGTTTCTTTGGCATGACAGTCAACAATTCACATCGACGTTCAGCAGATAAATGAGTAAGATCTGGAAAAACGTCTCCCTCCCCTTTGGAAGGGAAGAACTGTTCCTGTGACTCCTCTTCCTCCGTTACAACTCTAGCCCACAACTGCATTGAGGGGGCCGGATGTTCAAGCCAGGCTTTTAGCATGTTAACATGAAATACCTGATGTTTTCGTCGACGATCGGGCAGAAACAGTTCATATGTAACTGGACCAACCCTCCTGGAAATTGTAAACGGACCCTGCCATTTAGCTAACAAACTGCTCTCAGAAGTGGGAAGAAGCAACAGCACCTTCTGACCTTCCCTGAATGACCTTCCACGGGCCAATTTATCATAATACCGCTTTTGACGTTGTTGAGCAACCTCCAGGTGACTATGAGCCAGTTCTTGCAAATGCTCCAACTTATCTCTCATCTTTAACACATAAGCGAGTGATGTACAAAGCTCATCTGATCTGACGCCTTCCCAAGCCTCCTTAAGAATGTCCAAAGGACCTCTGACATGGTGACCATACAGGAGTTGAAATGGAGAGAGTCCGGTAGATGCTTGCGGAACCTCTCTGTATGCAAACAATAAGAAGGGAAGCCAATGGTCCCAATCTTTTCCCAAGTTTTTCACAAATTTCCTCAGCATAGATTTTAGCGTTTTGTTAAACCTTTCAACCAATCCGTCAGTTTGCGGGTGGTAGGGGCTTGTTTCAATCCCTGTAACCCCAAGCAGAGCATAGACCTCTCTCAACAGCTTAGATGTAAAGTTGGTGCCCTGATCAGTTAGAATTTCTCTCGGCACCCCCACTCTTGAAAACATTTGGATTAGACAGTTAGCAATCTGTCTCGCTTTCACTTTCTTAAGAGGAAAGGCCTCCGGATAATGAGTTGCATAATCACATACCACTAGGATATATCTATGCCCTGAACTACTCCTCTCCAATGGACCTACAATGTCCATAGCAATCCGCGTAAACGGTACATCAATCACTGGCATAGGAATAAGCGGAGCTCGATCTCCTTTCCTACCCGGCGCTGTTAACTGGCATTGTGGACATGCTTTGCAATACCGAACAGTATCTGCAAACTGCTGTGGCCAATAAAAGCAAGAAACCATCCTGGAAAAGGTTTTATGATGTCCCAAATGACCTGACCAAGGGATAGAATGGGCCAGCTTCAAAACCTCTGCCCTCAAGCTTTCAGGAACCACTAACTGGTCACCCACCTTGCTGCGGCGGTACAGACGTTCGTTCTTTAAAATAAAAACCTCTCGCACTCCATCTGATAGCTGTGTTGAATCCGGTACACATTTAGCAAAAAGAGATGTTAAAGAAGGATCTTGGTTCTGAAGCTGAACAAGGTTACCTAGCCCCACCTGCAGCTCATCCAGCTCAGGCTCAGGAAGCAACTCTGTCACCTTTGTTGCCCTCACTTTATCCTGTCTCCGTAGCCTTTTGCTCTTCCTTAAATGGTGCCTTCTCCTCCCTACCACCGCCGGAATTCCCTCTCCTGAGAAAGGTAACTCATCCCAACTAGGGTCTAACTGTGACTCTCTAGATTTAGACCTAGTGACGGCGAGCAGACCTTCACCTGGACTACCAGGTGTCTCTCCAGGGTTATTTAGCAAATCACCCAGAATTGGCATATCTTGGCCTAAGACAACCTGATATGGCAGATCCTCCAAAACCCCGACTGTGAGCAAATACTCTTATCCCTTAACCATAATTGGAACCTTTGCCACAGGGTAATCAACGTTATCCCCATGCACACAACATACTTTAACCGTACCACAAAATGTGGCATTCGGAGGCACACAAGCTTGCTTAAGTAATGTACGGTTACTACCCGAATCTAATAACGCAATCAATGGTTTTCCCCCAATCTGAACCGGAATTGTGTACTCATGACCACTAGTCGGCGCAACAAACTGCTTTTCTGGCAAATCAAAAGCCTCAGGTGAAAAACACAGAAATGTCTGAACCCCAGTTTGATTTGGGCAGTCTGCTCTAATATGACCCGTTTGACCACATGCATGACACACCACATTTCGAGGCCAAAATTCCTTCTTTCGGTTTTGGGTAGCACCTTGAAAACCTGAATTAACAGTTTTAGCCTTAAACGCATTTTCCCCAACATTTCCCCACATTAAAGGAGTTACAGTCTGGTGAGTCAAGTACCCCTTTTGTGGGCGTCGAGCTGCCAGGAAAGCTTCCACCATCTCTGCCGCTTGTTGGGATGTGGTGGGGTTCCTCTCCCTCACCCAGGTTTGACGATCCGGGTTCAAGATCCGCAGGAACTGCTCCAGCACGATGGCATCACCTATCTGCTCCCTTGTCTTCCCCTTTGGATCCATCCACTTCTCATACAGGTCTTTTAGGCGTGCGCGAAGCTCCTTGGGTGTCTCATCCTCCTTTACCTCCATTGAACGGAATCTCGACCGGTAAGTCTCTGCATTAATTTCAAATTTGTCAAGAACAGCAGATTTTATCTATCATAATCCATAACATCCTCAGTGTCCATTGCAACATATGCAGCTCGTGCCTTACCACTGAGGAGTGGAGCTAAATGCAGCCCCCACTCTTCTCGTGGCCATCGGCACCCAGTCGCAATCCGTTCAAAAGTGGTTAAATAATGTTCAATGTCCTCATCCTCACCATACGGCTGCATCTTTGGGCCTTCCCAACCCTGTCCTCTCACCGAACCGGACGAGGGCACTCCTCCTTGTTGATGAGGTTGCTGCACAGCCCGTATGGCTGCAGGGCTCTGAGGTACGTCAGAGCCACCAGCTGCACCCTCCAGCTCCTGCTGCTGCTGCCCCCAGGGCTCCGTCTGCACCTCCTGCTGAAGTTGGGTGAACTGGTGCTGCAGTTCTCGCCACCGCTCCTCCTGTCGTCGTCTGTCCTGCTCCATCAGGGTATCTCGGTCAGCTTGCTGCTGCATCAGGCCTTTAAATAAAGTAATCAGTTCAGACAAACCTCGCTCCTCTGTGCGTTGCTCACCAACAGCTCCGGCCAGGCCAATAACCTCCTGGGCCTCCTCCTCAAGACCCTCAAACAGCCCATGCTGCTTCTTTGCTCGAGTTGCCTTCTGCATCATTTTCAGCTACCGGCCTGGATCCCACCTCTGCCACCAAATGTGAGAATGTAGAGCAGCCAGAAGGTCTTCAAGTTGAAAGAAGTAGAGGCAAACTGCAGCACAGGGACATTTTTCCAGAGCCAAAATGCTTCTCCTGCATTTATTTCACCTCTTTCCTTTTACAGATCACCACATAACAAAAACAAAAAATCTCTCTAAGCCTCCACCTGGCTTCCTTTAAATACCCCCAGCAAATCACACCCGCAAACAATCCACCCCAATCATCAGTGCTCCAACATTAAATCCAGAGGGAAATAAACATCCACATAAAGGTACCTAAATGTTAACATAAACAAAAGACAAAACTGTTTTTACAATACAAAAAACATTTTCACACTAAGACACATTTCAGTTAAAATATCCCCCATCACAGTGCCAGCAGACTACAGAAATAAATTACAGGGACGAATGGGAAATCATCCCTACCACTTCGTCACAATGAGGATCTCAGTCTTATCTTCATTCAGCTGTAGAAAGCTCCCAGCCATCCAGGTTTTGATAGAGTCTAAGCAGGTGTGTAACAGCTGCAGCTTAGACATCTCATGGGGCTTACAGTTTTTTTTCGATTGCTAAAACTATGGCGTTTAAAGCGGGCCACAACCCGTGCACGCGCATTGGGTCCACAGCGCGCGTGTGAACGGGACTCGCGAGCGCAAATATACATGGCAGCGCGCGTGTGAACGGGACTCGCGAGCGAAAATATACATGGCGAGAGGTCATTTGTGCACTGAGAGGGAGCAAACTGTGTCTGTGAGCGCACAAGGATGTGCACAAGTGACAAACCTGCGTGCGCGCGTTGTCAACGAGCACACGGCAGAGGAAAACGTGCGCGCGCGGCAGCCTCTGTGCGCGCTCGGCAGCCTCTCTGCGCGCTCGGTTTCTGACTCCTGCTCGCTCGGCTGTAAGGGCTTTTGGCACTCTGGAGGCGTGACAATTTGTCAATTAAATACTGAAAAAAATAAACAATTCATTAATGAGGCAAGAACTTTTCTCTCTCTCTCTCTCTCTCTGGAAGCCCCACTCTAAGGGAGTTTGCAGTGTATTAGTGAGTCATATATTGTACAACCACAGTCATAAAGTTTTCAATCAGTAGTTTTATTTCAGTATGTATTTTTCCAGTATCACAAAAAATGTAATTTTATATGGTTAAAACCATCTAGCTTATGTGCACTTTTTAAAACACTGCCCAGCAAACATTCGGACGTTTAATGACAGTTGAACGGTCACAACTGTAAAATACCTGAAATTAAGAAAAATTAACATGACGTCTACTACATTTTCCTTGACCGGACTCGAACCTGGATCCTCCGGGGCGAGAGTCACCCGCTCTCCCAGCTGAGCTATGCCAGCAACTACTGAACATCAGACTTTTTTATATAAATAGAGGGTAAAGTGCGGGGTGAACTAACCAATCAGAGGACAGACAAGATCTGCCACAGGCCACGCCTCCAGAGTGCCAAAAGCCCTTACAGCCGAGCGAGCAGGAGTCAGAAACCGAGCGCGCAGAGAGGCTGCCGAGCGCGCACAGAGGCTGCCGCGCGCGCACGTTTTCCTCTGCCGTGTGCTCGTTGACAACGCGCGCACGCAGGTTTGTCACTTGTGCACATCCTTGTGCGCTCACAGACACAGTTTGCTCCCTCTCTGTGCACAAATGACCTCTCGCCATGTATATTTTCGCTCGCGAGTCCCGTTCACACGCGCGCTGTGGACCCAATGCGCGTGCACGGGTTGTGACACGGGTATGACGCGATATAAAACTTGTTTTTCAAAACTGTACGTTTCTTTCAAAACTGCACACACAAAACCCCAAACATAACACATAAATTCCTAAACCGTGGCTTCCCTTTGCAACAAAACCCTGCCATCATATATCGTAACATGTTCCCAAAATGGAACACGTGTTTTATTTGGTAAACACAGCCACATTTTCACATGACACACACATACCATTCATTGCTTAAACACAAGTAGCCTTTTGGTGAACACTACCAAGCATGGAAAGAACACTGAAGAGCAAAACTGAAAACACAATCGTCTAAATGGAACACAATGAATTACACACCAAATGTATGACAGTGCCCACTTTCCTCTGAGACAAACATTAGACATCACACAAATTTTGAGACAAAATGTATTTATAACCCCCACCCCCCACCCCATCTCCCATTCAAGCATAATAATGGGGCATCATGCCTCTGGTCTCTGTCTGGCCAGAGGGCCTCATCAACATCACAGGCAATGTCCTCCTGGTCCAAACAGTGCTGGAAGTACCGCCTCGAGTGCCTGTTGAAGCCCTGACAGGCCTCAAAGCCCACATCTCCACAAGCCTCCTCAATGGCTTGAAGCAGTGGGACCTGGCTCTGTGGATTCTTTTCGTATACCTTCCACCTCCAGGCTGAGAAAAACTCCTCAATGGGATTGAGGAAGGGGGAATAAGGTGGAAGGTATAAAACGGAAAAATGTGGGTGGTCCTGAAACCACTCATGCATCTGAGCAGCCTTGTGAAAACTTACATTGTCCCAAATTATTATAAGGTTGACCCGCTGTGGGTTATCTATGCCATCAGGTTGAACAAGCACATCATACAGGCCGTTTAGGAATTCCAGTAGCAGGGCTGTGTTGTATGCCCCTAGGTGGGCATGTCGGTGTAGGATACCATGGTGGTTCATGGCCGCACACATAGTGACGTTGCCACCACGCAGGCCTGGGACCTCGATTGTGGCCCGCTGGCCAATCACATTTCTTCCCCGGCGCCTCCTTTTTACCAGGTTGAACCCAGCCTCGTCTATGGAGATGTATTCATAGCTTTCGTTGGCTGTGTCATAGTCCTGGATTTGCTGAAGCAGACAGTATGAGAATACAAGTTACACTATAGACACAGAGACAGTATGTTACATTGAGACAATGTAGAAAAGGACCACTATTACAGAAGATTACGTTATAGTGGTACAATGCATGCATGTGTCAGTGATGAATGTATGGGACTTACAAGCACATACTCTCGACGTAAGGCCTTCACACGGTTTGTGTTACGTTGGAATGGAACCCTGTAGACTTGCTTCATTGTCAATAAATTTCTGTGAAGTATGCGATGTATTGTTGAGATGCTGATTGTGTGGAGGTCATTGAAGATGGTATTGTCAGCCAGGACCCTTGTTTGTATCTGTTTTAGTGTGAGGGTATTGTTTTCACGGACCATGTCTACAATGGCTGCCTCTTGTTGCTGTGTGACAATTGAAGTTCTTCCTCCACGATAAGGTTCTCTGGCCACCCTGAAAAATATTACAGTAATACTGTGAGCACATTGTAGTGTACTGGTTCCCAAACTTTTCTGCTAGTGACTTCAAAGAGATTACTGTAGACAATAGCCTAAGACCCGAACGAGTGAACAGCACAACTACAAGCTCAACGCATCACTTTGCACTGTTTTGTGAGCTTGTAGAGTTGCTTTTTTCACTACTTTTTACAGCACACATTTGTTTTCTAATGCTGTGTTTCATAGAATTTCTTGGAAATTTCTTTAAATTTCTTCAATAAATTACAGTACCTGGGAAATAAAAATGACATTTGCTTTTCACAGTAATTCATGGAAATATTTGCTGTCTTTGAATCATTTTCCTTTACTTTAATGTTATGAAATAATAATAATTGATAACAAAATGTGGTAAACAAAGAGTAAAGGGACCCAAAACAATATGACTGCAACCCACAAATGTGTCCCAAAACACTGTTTAGGAAAAAGTGCTGTAGTCTATTGAATGCTGTATTACAATACTCATGAAGAATAAATTTCATACCTCTTCTCCATCCTGAACGTCCTTATGATGGTCGACACTGTGAAACGGTTGAGGTTTGGCTGGACCCTCTGGCCAGCCTCCCTCATGGTCAACCCATGGTTGAGCACATGGTCCAATACAGTGGCACGAATCTCATCGGAGATTTGGATTCTCCTTCTTCGTTCCCTTGCTTCTCCTTGTTGTCCTCCTCCTATTCCTCTTCCCCATCCTCCTCTTTCTTCTCCTCCTTTTCCTCTTCCCCGTCCTCCTCTTTCTTCTCCTCCTCTTCCTCTTCCCCGTCCTTCTCTTTCTCCTCCTCCTCTTCCTCGTCCTCCTCCTCTTCCCCGTCATCGTCGTCCTCCTCCTCCCATACGCACTCCTCTCCTCTGTTGTCTGTTGTCTCTGTTCTCCATTGCTCATCAAACAAAACAGTGTCCAGCCTCCTTTTATGCTGCAGTCCCTGATTGCAAATTGCTCACCAGACATGAAAGTTTAGAGATTTGAATAGTTGTGTGTTGTTGATTGAAGCTTTGAGAGTTTGTTTGACAAGTATGTGTAAACGTGAAAATTGTGTGCTGTGTTTTGACAGCATGGTGATGTGAAATTGACATCAGAGTGTAAAGGAGGACAATCAGAGAGCTAATATGATAAGGCAATCTAAAGTAGTGATAAATGGAGACAGGCGATTGGGAATAGAAGTAGAGGTTGTGAAGTTCGTGCCTCATTTTTGATTTTTGAGTTTTAGCAATCGAAAAAAACTGTAAAGGAGATGTACAGTTGGATGTCATCTGCATAAATATGGTAGGATATTCCCTTAAAGGAGCTCAGGATGTGCTGAAGATGAAGCAGATAGAGGAGGAAGAGTAGAAGCCCAAGCACAGAACCTTGTGGGATACCATGGGTGAAGAAGGTGGTGGAGGACCTAAACTTAGAGACGGCCACAGAGGAGGAATATTCAGACAGATATGAGAACTATTCCAGAGCAGTTCCTGATAGGCCTACCCAGTTTCTCAGCCTCTCCAGTAACAGGCGATGGTCTACAGTGTCAAAGGCTGCAGTCAGGTCCAGCAGGACCAGAAAAAGAACAGTCCCATTCATCACTGTGGGTCAGAAGGTCATTAGAGACCCTAAGAAGAGCTGTTTCAGTAGAATGAGCTCTATAAAAACCAGACTGTAAGCTATCATAGATGTTATGTTGATCAAGAACAGCTGTGAGTTGTTTAACCACAGCCTTTCCAAGATCTTGGAGATGAACGGAAGTTTAGAGATGGGTCTGAAGCTGCTATGGAGAGAGGGGGCAAGACTTGTTTTTTTCAGAAGTGGGTGGATTACAGCGTTCTTAAAGTAAGCAGGAACCTGACCAGAAACCAGAGACCATTAATAATAGAGAGCACGCTGGGACCGATGGACTGAAAAGCACTTTTAAACAAAGATGAGGGTAAGATGTGGACGGGGCATGCAGAGGAGTTCATAGAGTTAACTAGTTTGGTTAAGTCAGGCAAAGAAACAGGAACAAAACAATCTAGGATGATAGGCCTGACTGGAGTTGGGGGGGGGGGGGGGGGTGCTCCGTTTTTCCTTGGCCCCCAAAATGCCTTGAAACGGACCTGGGTGTGTGAGTTAGTTTTGAAGGTGATCTGAATTGTATCAGTATAAATATTGCATGTGTATTACTTATTGTTTTATACAGGTAAAAACGTGTAGTTGTCATGACTCCCGGCCTTTCACCCTCCTCTGCCTCTGCTGCCATGACCTGTTTCCACAGCAACCTCAGCCTGCACCTCATCAACTTCATTCATCTCACCTGTTCCTGTCATCAGCTCATCCCACACACCTGCACCCTCTGCTATTTAACTCCCAGCCTGCTCTCCAACCAGTGCCAGATTATTGAACGCTCTTTGCCAGTAAATCTTCCAGCCTTTCACCTTGCCTGATCTCAGCCTCCGGACCTCATTTTCACGCCTGACTCCTGCCTTGAACTCTGCCTGCCACCACGACCCTCGCCTGTCCTCTACCACGTCTCCAGCCTGTTCCCTGTACCTGCTTGTCCCGATCTGGTTTTGAACCACGCCTCCTCTCCGACTCTGTCTCCTGCCTTGTCCTCTTTGGTAACGCCACATCTAATAAAGACTTTTTATTTAACTTTTTACGGTGTCTGTGTCATCACGGGTCTTCCAAGTTCTGAACGTGACAGAATAATCTGGCCACAACATAGACCCGACACCGACACAGCTCTTGCTTAGGAGTTCAGCTTACATTCATTCTGACCTGTCATGGAGTATCTCACGCTCCTCGCGCCGCTCCAGCCTCAAGCGCTTCCTGTCATCATGCCGCACCAGCCTCAACCCCCTCCTGTCAGGTCACGTCAGCAGTGGTCCCGGAGGTCTTCTGGAGCTGCTAGGAGGGTTGATCCTTCTCCCGTGCTGGTGTCGGCGGGTTCCCCAGACAACACCTCATGTTTTGCTTCTAGGCCGGCCCCAACTGAGGAAGCTGTTCAAATGATGATACAGATGGTCGTGGATGCTATATGGGAAATCTTTACCATACCATCCTGCCCCACTTACGACTGCGGACGGCTGACAAGTTCAATACCCTCTATTCCACCCATCCGGAATTGATAACGGTTCCAGCCCTTAGTAATTATTACCTTTATGTCCGGAGTGTTTATGGGTCCGCACTTAAGGATGTCACCACAGAGGGTCTGACCTGATGTGAGAGATGGACACCATGCCCAGAACCCTCCAGCACCACACATCCACATCCTGTTCCGGTGGTGGTTCCAGAGGATGCTCCGCATCTAGTACTGTTGGTGGTCCAAGAGGACGCTCCACATCCCGTTCCGGTGGTGGTCCCAGAGGACACTCTGCATCCACGTTCAGCGGTGGTTCCAGAGGACGCTCCGCATCCCGTTCCGGTGGTGGTCCCAGAGGACGCTTCGCATCCAGTTCCGGTGGTGGTCCCAGAGGACGCTTCACATTCAGCTACCGCAGTGGTCCCAGAGGACGCTCCGCATCCCGTTCCAGTGGTGGTCCCAGAGGACGCTCCGCATCCAGTTCTGGTGGTGGTCCCAGAGGACGTTCCACATCCCGTTCCGGTGGTGGTCCCAGAGGACGCTCCGCATCCAAGTTCAGCGGTGGTTCCAGAGGACGCTCCACATTCCGTTCCGGTGGTGATCACAGAGGACGCTCCGCATCCAGTTCCGGTGGTGGTCCCAGAGGACGCTCCGCATCCAGATCCCGCAGTGTTCCCAGAGGATGCTCCGCATCTCCAGAGACTACGTCCCCGCATGAGTCTCCAGAGTATATGTCCCTGCCTGAGTCTCCAGAGTCTACATCCCCGCCTGAGTCTCCAGAGTCTACGTCTCCGCCTGAGTCTCCAGAGTCTACGTCCCCGCCTCAGTCTCCGTCCCCTCTGACTCCAGGTCGGTCATCGGCAGCCATCACCGCCAGTTCGGTCCTCGCCCATCGCCGCCGGCCCCCCGGACTCCCGCAGTCCCGGCTCCTAGTTCCCCGTCGCCGGCCCCCCAGACTCCCGCAGTCCTGGCTCCTGGTGCCCCGTCGCTGGCCCCCCAGACTCCCGCAGTCCCGGCTCCTGGTTCCCTGTCGCCGGCCCCCTAGACTCCTCTGGCCCTCTTTCCTGGTCCCCCTCCACCCGCCCTGTCTGGCCCTCCCTCCTGGTCCCCCTCCTCCCGCCCTGCTTTGGCCCTTCGTCCTGGTCCCCCTCCTCCCGCCCTGCTCTGGTTTCCTGTGGGCGTCTGGAATCCGCCCTTGAGGGGGAGGGGGGGGGGGTGTTCTGTCATGACTCCCTGTCTTTCACCCTCCTCTGCCTCTGCTGCCATGACCTGTTTCCACAGCAACCTCAGCCTGCACCTCATCAACTCCATTCATCTCACCTGTTCCTGTCATCAGCTCATCCCACACACCTGCACCCTCTGCTATTTACCTCCCAGCCTGCTCTCCAACCAGTGCCAGATTATTGAGCGCTCTTTGCCAGTAAATCTTCCAGCCTTTCACCTTGCCTGATCTCAGCCTCCGGACCTCGTTTTCACGCCTGACTCCTGCCTTGAACTCTGCCTGCCACCACGACCCTCGCCTGTCCTCTACCACGTCTCCAGCCTGTTCCCTGCACCTGCTTGTCCCGATCTGGTTTTGAACCACGCCTCCTCTCCGACTCTGTCTCCTGCCTTGTCCTCTTCGGTAACGCCACATCTATTAAAGACTTTTTATTTAACTTTTTACGGTGTTTGGTGTCATCACGGGTCTTCCAAGTTCTGAACGTGACAGTAGTGGAGATAAATCTACCTACTTTTCAACACTTTGTTTTGTTTTCTTGTTTTTATTGAACTATTTTCCTGTCCTGTCTGTCGCTCATCTTCCTGCATCTCCTCTAAAGTCTCCAGAAAAAACTGCTGCCTGGATTCTTACTTTTTCACCTCATCAGCTACTTTTGAGCAGATCAACGGGATCTCCTGACCACAAAGCGGAGTGTGCGTCTCAATGCTGCGTCAGTGAGGTGAAATCACCACAGCCCACGATGAGTAGAGCGCATCAGGAACGATTAAAAGACAGCTGCCTGGATTCCTACTTTTTTACCTCATCAGCTACTTTTGAGCAGATCAACGGGATCTCCTGACCACAAAGTGGAGTGTGCGTCTCAATGTTGCGTCAGTGAGGTGAAATCACTGCAGCCCACGATGAGTAGAGCGCATCAGGAACGATTAAAAGACAGAGTACCAGAGGATATAAACAGATATGAACTATCATGTGTTAATAATAATGTTTTGTTGTTCCACCTTGAGAATGTATCATGTGCCGGACGCAGCGAGCGCACCAACAATCAGCGCTCTGCATCCTCTCCGCTCAACAGAATCCCGCTACGCTGTATGGTGTCAGGTTTCCGCCAAAACCCGTGCAAGCGTAGCCAAAACCCGTGCACGCGTATTGTGCACATCGCGCGTGCGAACGGGACTCGCGCGTGGAGGTTAGAACCTCATGAGTGAAAATATACATGGCGAGGAGGTCATTTGTACACTGAGAGGGAGCAAACTGTGTCTGTGAGCGCACAAGGATGTGCACAAGTGACAAACCTGCGTGCGCTCGTTGGCCAACGTGCACACGGCAGAGGAAAACATGCGCGCGGCAGCCTCACTGCGCGCTCGGTGCGGCAGCCTCACTGCACGTGTGGCAGCCTTTCTGCGCGCTCGGTTTCTGATTCTGCTCGCTCGGCTGTTGGGAGTTTTGGCACTCTGGAGGCGTGGAAGAATTAAAGTGCCAGAAACTGAGCAGTTGAACTTTCAATTTGAGAGCAGAATTTCATATCAAGAGACCATCTTTTTAATTTCAGAATACTATTTTATATTATTGCTCTCAAAACTTGTAATGCTTGCGCTCAAAATGTCTGCTCTCTTTCAAATTCACTCTGTTCTCCTTCAAATCTTTGTTTTTGCGCTCAGATTTAACCTTCTTACAGTGGTATTGTCTTCTCATGTGACAACTTTTTCTCTACACGGATCAAAACTCCTTCCACAAGTCTGTCCCCTACTCTCACGGATCTTGTCTGCTCTCGCTCAAAACTTAGAAGTACAATCTCCTAGCAACCGCTCAGCCAATAGAAAGACTTGTGGGACTGGGCGGGAACAAACCTCTTTGGGGTGCGCTCGTTTTGCGCTCTGTGGATTTTCCTGTGTGGCTGCCGCATCTGCGCACTAACAGCCTGGCTAATACCCGCCCTGATCTGGAGCGAGAGTTTCACCTGCACCAGCAAAATGGACCAGAACCAACAAGACGCTCAAGTAAGTTATTTTTCAAGGCTACTAGCTGCAGTTTATTCCATAAAATTGTTTTGTTATGCTACTTTTTACGACTCCTCGCATTTAATATTGCAACAGGGGCACATAGCTAGGTGGATTAGGTTATTCACTATAGCTACAACTTTCATAAAATGGCCTCAGCAGATTTGAGTTTTACCCTAACATATCACTCGTCCCCAATGCTAGCTCTGGACCTAGTGTAGATGTTTTTTGTTTAGTATTCCCACCTTTGTTTTTAATAGTTAGCTCTTTGGACATTACAGTAGTTATTCGTTAGCGTTTACTCCATGAACATTGTTTCCTCATCTAACTGCTAACTATCAAAATGTGTTTCATCCATCGACATAAATATATCCCAATGTTTTTCTCACGCTGTAATGAACAAGATGGGTCATCAAAGTAAGAGAATGTTATTAAAAAGTGGAACTCGTTATAATTGAACGATGGAAAATTTTGACCAAAGCCGTAGGAGAAAACCGTTTTTGATAGGGAAACACATTTTGACACAACACCTGCCCTGACTGGCGCGTCAGCTAGCTTTCAATCTGTTGGTAGGTTTCTGAAAATATCAATGCTATGTTAAGTGAGTGTAATCCAGTAGTAATTTCCCCAACAAAATAACAATTTCTATTTTTGCTCAATTCCTGCCTCCTGCCATTTCATTTTGCACTCGCATTATTTCTTTTTGTAATCCTGTCAAACCTAGCCGCTGGTCTTTAAACATAATGAGCCTAACTTACTAATACTGAGTCTGGGGTTACATAAGCAGTAACAAAACAAAAACAGTTTCTGTTTCTAAGTCTCAGCAATGAGTAAGGTTGTATTTCTGGTGTAAGCGAACTAACATTTGTTTTCTGTGAAATGCGCGAAATGTTGTATTACACAGTCTGTGGTACCATGATGCAGCACAATTCACTGTTGCATGTTAAACCACAGAAGATGTAGAGGAAAATGAATGTAATGGCTGAGGTGGAGGACCTGTAATGACACCAGAAAATAAGAAAATGTGTAAAAGCTTTATTAAAAGTTTAGTCCTGAAATTCTCATGGTAATCCAGGGAAGCAGGTTGGTGCATGGTCAGGGAACAGGCGTGGGTCAGGGCCAGATAAACAGCAGGTTCCATCCCAGCTCCAACCAGAGAGTGCTGCTGTTGTGTCCTTGGGCAAGACACTTAACCAACTTTGCCTGCTGTTGGTGGTCGGAGGGACCGGTGGTGCCAGTGTTCAGCAGGCCCGCCTCTGTCAGTGTGCCCCAGGGCAGCTGTAGCTACTATCTGGCTTATCACCACCGTAAGCATGTGAAAAGGGTGTGGCTGTTGTGTAAAGTGCTTTGTAGGCCTTGGACTTGATAAATTTCAATAAATGTGCAAGCCAATTACAATTTTTTTCAATTTGTAGGTGTTTCCCATTTGCTGTATAACCAAATACAACTTTTTCTGTGTTTTTTGTTGTATTTCTTTAGACTGGTTCCATCCGAGAAGTTACGAGAAACCTTATGGATTTACTGAATGCTCATCTACAAGCAGAGGGCCCGCAACAAACACCAACTGTGCCACAGCGCACAACACCAGCGACAACACCTTAACAGACTATCCCTCGGTCTACAGTTCATCAAGAAATGTCAAGGTAAGTTAAGTGTAGAAATGTAAATATTTGACATCTGCATTGGTCTATTCAGTGGTTTGAAATTAAATTATTCCAATGATGCTTTATTATTCATCTTAGAAAGAGGCTTTCTGCAATTGACTGTATTTTTTTTTTTACATAGTGAAATTAAATTCTGAAATAATGTAAGCAGTGTAGTATAGGCTACAGCTAGGGCTGGGCAATATATAGATATTTTAAAATTATAAATATAATTTTAAACGAGAAACAAGATGACTTTGTATTGATATAACTAGTCAAGCCACATAAGCTAGCAACTAGCTTGCTCCGTCTGTAAGCGGTCATTTCATGTATTCTCACAAATCTGCTCAATCAGAAAACCTCTGGGTCAATGTTCTGCCCTAAACTTTGCATTTGGCTTCATGGTTTTTAATTATTTGGGGATATTCGTTCATGTTTCATCAAGCCTGTTCACCGTGGTTACCAACGGAGTTCTGTTTACCCCTCCCTCCCTCGTGTAATTGGGAAACCACTACAGAGAGCCGGAGTGGCCAAATTACCTCAAACATGTTGTAATGGCTTCAACTGTAAACGTTAGGGTTAACATTTAATTTTGAAGGTGAGTTCAGCGCTAAAAGTTTTTCTGGTTCCGGTTTTTGATGCTTTGCTATGGTCGGGGCTCAGCCACGTGAGTTCGGAATAGAACGGGTGGTTTCTTGTTCACATGTGATTCCCAGGGCTTCTCAGGAATGCGGAAATCCCCGAGCATGTGGGCGGCGGTAAAGACGCGCGGAAGAAGTCTGCGGTGTCTGCCTATGCTAAACAATAATTCCTCATCAAACCGCTGCACCAACACACACTGCGCTTCTCCAATAATCTGCTCTCCTCTAATCCTTCCTACTTCAGCGCTGTAGTGTCCTCCGCTGCAGATGTGTCCTTATAACCGCTGCTACACACACACACTGCTGTCCTCCTCTGCTGCGGAGCAGGAGACAGCAGCTCAGTGCTTCATGTGGGCTAAACAGCAACCAGGATGAAAAGTAATCGCATATGCGGAAACCCCCCGGTGTTTGATCCAACTCCCCAATAGGAGGCGGTAGGTGTGAGTTTCAGCTGCCAATCAGTCCATAGTGTCTGCTCGGCACCAGCCGGACCTCCGAGGGAAGTAGTCTGAAAAAAAAGTCTCCTTAGAATGAAATACACACATGTGAGCCATATGCGAACAAAACATTTGGTTCCGAACGCATCCATGCCGACCCAGATGTGAAAGCGGCTTAAGTGAGGGAAAATACTAACATGGGACGACTGTGAGAATAAGGAGTAAAATAGTTTAGTTTTAAAAATAGTTTCCAGCTCAAAACAGGAGACAACAGGTGTGATCCTGGAATTGTGGATGAAGTCTGTCAGTGAAGCTCTTGGGATCACAGCTCCACCTCTCAGTTCAGACTCCACAGAGCTCCTAGTGTGTGAGTTCTTGTTCTCTTCTGTACTTTTAACGTTAACGCAGGAGAGTGTTTGCTGTTGTATTTCAGTTATAATGTGAACAACCACACAAAACATTAAATTTACTCAAAAATTCTGAATGGATTTTTAAGACCTGCCGTGTGAACGTAGCCTTAAGCCTGATTCATGCTTCTCCGTCTGCATCAGTGTGGAGACACGCAACGTCCTTGCGTGCCTGCCGGAGAGCTCCGCAAGGACGGACGGAGTCAAGCTCTCTTTTCTAAACAGCCGTCAGTCGAGACGGACAACGCAAGCTTGTGATTGGTCAGGATGCCGCTGTTGTTTACAGCTCCGCCATTGCACCCTCAAAAACATAAAGAGAGCCGAGGATAACAAGCGGCAGACACGGAGCAGCTTGAAGAATACCTCGCGAAAAAACTCTAAAAACATGAACTTTTAGTTCCCCTGTGACTGGAGGAGAGAGAAGATGCGCAGCAAGCGTTTTATTTGTGGATGGAAATGACAGGAAACGTGGGTTCAGAGGTGGCAAGCGCATGAAGAGGTGGAGGAGAATGAGAGACAAATATGTCCGTGTTAAAAGTCTCTTATATACACAAAAAATACAATATAAACACATTATCTTGGACCAATACATGACAGGATACCACAGAACAGCGCTACGCCCTCTGTTGTCCTGCCGAGGAATTGCTTTGCAACACTCTCCAGGAGACGGAGAAGTATGAGAGCAAAACACTTCCGTCAATCCGTGCGTGTCTGTCCCTTGCGGAGCTGAAGGAGAAGCATGAACCAGGCTTTAGACAGCATGTTTCTTTGTACATAAGCCGTACCATAGACATCATTGGCTGCTGGAGAGTAACTGCTTCACCGCCATATTGAGTAGGTTTCTAACTCCAAAACCCAATTTGAATCCAGTCATTGGAGCAACTATGCCTGTTTTTGTGCAGCTCACAGTTCCAACAACCAGCAGTTACATCTGCCTGTAAGCTTTGTTTGTTAATAAAGTTATATAAAAATAAAAAAACTGTTACGTCACGATCTCCTTGCTTTCTACAGGAAGTTTAAAAAATTATTTCAATAAAGATTGAAACACAAACATGAAGCTAAATGAGGAGCTCTATGAACATACTGAACGCCGCTTTAAAAGATACTGAATGTGAAATATGGCATTTCTCTACTGCTGACTGATGAAAGGGAGTCCGATGTGCCTGTTGTCATTTTGCAGGAGGTTGAACGATCTGACAAGGTAGTTAGCCCGTAAAAAAATTGTGCTGCAACACTCCCAGTGCTTTTTTTGTGGCCTTTATGGCTATTCATTGGTAGGCTCATCACGGAACACAAAAATGTAGCTTGTTTGTTATGATTTAGGTACGTACTGCCCCCTAGTGGCAGAAAACTACAGACTGTCGCTTAAAGAAATAGCATAAAATGGCCAGGGATGCAATTCAATATATATTCTCTTCTACGGTTTTAAAATTTTGAAATAATTATCTATCGATCGATTAGATTTTTTTAAATTAATATGCTTTTATTCATCAACCAGCCCTAAAACCTACTAAAGGTTAAACATTTTAAATTGCAAACTGTACTTAATTACGGTGATGCAAGTAAATGACAATTACACCCCTGCAAAATAGTAAAAGTTCTAAATCAAAACCATTTTGAATTTTTGTTATTCTTGTCCCTGCTATTTGTAATTTTTTTTTATCTAATTTTGACATATAGTAATCCTGCACAACAATGTGATAATTTGGTTTCTATTAAAATTTAGGAAATTTTGCTTATTTGTTGACAAATTGCAGCTCAATATAGAAACATCATCATTGTTCTCTTGTTGTAATGTCAGGATTTCCAAGAGCCAGACATCGACTGGGATGTTGCTGCAGAGTACAGCCCAGATGTGGACGGTGCTGCTGTGGTCCCGGAGTTCGACAGTCCCCTCACTGAAGAGCAGCATGCTGAACTGCATCCATGCTTTCGTTCTTTTTTAAACACAGAAACAGTTTTGTTTACCTGTTAGTAGCTACAGTTTCGCCGACGGCTGCCGGCTTCTTCAGGCTGACGCTGATGGTGGCGCGTAAAAATTCTAACCAGATTAAGTGCTTGGAAGAGCCATCCACATCCAGTATGATGCTGTTCAGATGTGGAAACAAACAAAAAAAAAAAGATTAAACTCTCATAACATATTGTGTACAACGTGCATGGGTAAAAACATGCACCTGTCCTCTTCCTCCTTCACCACAAAAGCTGGCATGCAGTTGTACAGACTCCTGAGTAAATTCTTATCACACAATGGACAGGAAACCTATTAAAGACATTTTTTTAAATCAGTGACCAACAATCATTGTTAAGTAAACAATAATGATTAACATGAAATGTAATTAAAATATTCTGTATATTGCTAACGTGCATGTTTGAAGTTTGATTTAAAGGGATATTCCACCCTAAGTGAAAATTTGTCTACTGTCTAAATTGGCTCCTGCAAATGTGTTACTTCTTACTTTTCATTTGCAGTCAACATGATTATTGAGCTCAACAGGAATAACTGGTATCATAATTTAGTAATTTTACAGTTTTGCACACAAAATGCTACTACCTCCCATTAACTTACATGGTTTATTCTCATCTAAAGCAGACAGACTGCTGGCAGATAAGAATTACTGCGCTGGTTAAAACAATCCTTTTTCATTCACTTATCCAACTCTGGGGAATACGGCACTAGAAAACATTTTTGGATCTTTCCCTGACACATATCTAGCCCCTCATAACTCGATCCCAGTTCCTGGATAAAACACAGGACATTTTATTCCATGTAGGACCCTAATCCACCTAGCTATGTGCCCATGTTGCAATATTAAATGTGAGGAGTCGTAAAAAGTAGCATAACAAAACAATTTTATGGAATAAACTGCAGCTAGTAGCCTTCAAAAATAACTTACTTGAGCGTCTTGTTGGTTCTGGTCCATTTTGCTGGTGCAGGTGAAACTCTCGCTCCAGATCAGGGCGGGTATTAGCCAGGCTGTTAGTGCGCAGATGCGGCAGCCACACAGGAAAATCCACAGAGCGCAAAACGAGCGCACCCCAAAGAGGTTTGTTCCCGCCCAGTCCCACAAGTCTTTCTATTGGCTGAGCGGTTGCTAGGAGATTGTACTTCTAAGTTTTGAGCGAGAGCAGACAAGATCCGTGAGAGCAGGGGACAGACTTGTGGGAGGAGTTTTGATCCGTGTAGAGAAAAAGTTGTCACATGAGAAGACAATACCAGTGTAAGAAGGTTAAATCTGAGCGCAAAAACAAAGATTTGAAGGAGAACAGAGTGAATTTGAAAGAGAGCAGACATTTTGAGCGCAAGCATTACAAGTTTTGAGAGCAATAATATAAAATAGTATTCTGAAATTAAAAAGATGGTCTCTTGATATGAAATTCTGCTCTCAAATTGAAAGTTCAACTGCTCAGTTTCTGGCACTTTAATTCTTCCACGCCTCCAGAGTGCCAAAACTCCCAACAGCCGAGCGAGCAGAATCAGAAACCGAGCGCGCAGAAAGGCTGCCACACCTGCAGTGAGGCTGCCGCACCGAGCGCGCAGTGAGGCTGCCGCGCGCATGTTTTCCTCTGCCGTGTGCTCGTTGGCCAACGAGCGCACGCAGGTTTGTCACTTGTGCACATCCTTGTGTGCTCACAGACACAGTTTGCTCCCTCTTATGGCGTTTAAAGCGTGCCACAACCCGTGCACGCGCATTGGGTCCACAGCGCGCGTGTGAACGGGACTCGCGAGCGGAAATATACATGGCGAGAGGTCATTTGTGCACTGAGAGGGAGCAAACTGTGTCTGTGAGCGCACAAGGATGTGCACAAGTGACAAACCTGCGTGCGCGCGTGGTCAACGAGCACACGGCAGAGGAAAACATGCGCGCGCGGCAGCCTCTGTGCGCGCTCGGCAGCCTCTCTGCGCGCTCGGTTTCTGACTCCTGCTCGCTCGGCTGTAAGGGTTTTGGCACTCTGGAGGCGTGGCCTGTGGCAGATCTTCTCTGTCCTCTGATTGGTTAGTGTACCCCGCACTTTACCCTCTACCTATCTATATAAAAAAGTCTACTAGTCAAGTAGTCGCTGGCATAGCTCAGTTGGAAGAGCGGGTGACTCTCGCCCCGGAGGACCCAGGTTCGAGGCCGGGCAAGGAAAATGCAGTAGATGTCATGTTAATTTTTCTTAATTTCAGGTATTTTACAGTTGTGACCGTTCAACTGTCATTAAACGTCCGAATGTTTGCTGGGCAGTGTTTTAAAAAGTGCACATAAGCTAGATGGTTTTAACCATATAAAATTACATTTTTTGTGATACTGGAAAAATACATACTGAAATAAAACTACTGATTGAAAACTTTATGACTGTGGTTGTACAATATATGACTCACTAATACACTGCAAACTCCCTTAGAGTGGGGCTTCCAGAGAGAGAGAGAGAGAGAGAGAGAGAGAGAGAGAGAGACAGAGAGAGAGACAGAGAGAGAAAAGTTCTTGCCTCATTAATGAATTGTTTATTTTTTTCAGTATTTAATTGACAAATTATCCTTTCAAATAATTAATTGATGAGTTACATAATTGTCCATTTAGAATTGTTGAATGGACTGAGTCAAGTTTGGTGCACTTTATATATTTCAAAACATGTTTTTTTTTTATTTTAATGATGCATATAAATAATTTAAATGTTAATTTAATGAAATATTTCTATTTTTTCATTACCTCACCCTTGTTTTGACAAAAACGGGACCTTGCTGGATAATATCATGGAGAAACTATTTGTTCACAGTACATGGCTCAGTGAGGATCTGTGTACCGAAGGAGGAGATACTCAGAAATCTGTCTGCAGATTGTTACAACCCAGACTGGAAGTGGTGGGCTGTAATAAGAAAGGAGACCAAACAGAGGAGTGGGGGTTCAACAACTGATTTATTTAACAAAAGTAAGGATTTACTAAAGCAAGTTAGTGAACAGAAAATGGCCAGTGAGGACTCTCCACCACACAGGAGAGACCCAGTGAAAGCAGAAAAACAGTAGGCTTTGTAGGCAGCACCACACCCTGAGCCCAGGTGCCTCCAAGGCTGCTTAACCAGCTGCCTACAACAGAAGAAAAACACAATTAAACACAAATGAAAACCCAATGAGATGGTGGGGGCATCACAACACGTTCAGGACTACCCAAACACCAGTAAATCTTGACTGCACTGATCTGAGGTGTCAATGGCCATATTCCCCTCTCTTCCAGAGTCATATATTTTCCTCAAGTTCAACTGCACTCTGAAGAGGTTCATTTGGATTGTGCCACATAGGCCAGTGACCTTTGTCTCAGCACTGTATGCTGGAACTATCAGCGACCAACCTGGGAATCTGGTGTGTTGAAAATGCTACAACTAGAGATGGTCATCTTGGTAGACAGGGGTTTCTGCATTGATGACATTGTGCCCTGCAAAGTGTACAGGCCAGCTTTTCTTTCTGGCAAACCTCAAATGTCTGCATGTAAAGTTATAGAAACAGAAGCCATAACATCTCTGAGTGCATGTGGAGCGCTCCATTCATCTGGTCCAAGAACACAAGCATTTTGATTGTTATTCCCCTCCTTGCATTTGTAAACAATCAGCTATATGCTGTGGTTTTTCTCCTTACCAACTTTTAAAATAGCCCACTAGTGAAGGCCTGGGCAAAGAAGCCTGATGTCTGAGAACCTCAACATATGTACGGCAACCATACTGTATATTTACACACTTTCATAAAGAAACTGCATATCAAGCTTTCATTCAGATGACCTTCAACAGTGCTGCACCCTGCTGAGGGACATCCGAGTAAAACCTTGAGATGGCCATTTTCTGTTCACTAACTTGCTTTAGTAAATCCTTACTTTTGTTAAATAAATCAGTTGTTGAACCCCCACTCCTCTGTTTGGTCTCCTTTCTTATTACAGCCCGCCACTTCCAGTCTGGGTTGTAACAATCTGCAGACAGATTTCTGAGTATCTCCTCCTTCGGTACACAGATCCTCACTGAGCCATGTACTGTGAACAAATAGTTTCTCCATGATATTATCCAGCAAGGTCCCGTTTTTGTCAAAACAAGGGTGAGGTAATGAAAAAATAGAAATATTTCATTAAATTAACATTTAAATTATTTATATGCATCATTAAAATAAAATAAAAAAACATGTTTTGAAATATATAAAGTGCACCAAACTTGACTCAGTCCATTCAACAATTCTAAATGGACAATTATGTAACTCATCAATTAATTATTTGAAAGGATAATTTGTCAATTAAATACTGAAAAAAATAAACAATTCATTAATGAGGCAAGAACTTTTCTCTCTCTGTCTCTCTCTCTGTCTCTCTCTCTCTCTCTCTCTCTCTCTCTCTCTCTCTCTGGAAGCCCCACTCTAAGGGAGTTTGCAGTGTATTAGTGAGTCATATATTGTACAACCACAGTCATAAAGTTTTCAATCAGTAGTTTTATTTCAGTATGTATTTTTCCAGTATCACAAAAAATGTAATTTTATATGGTTAAAACCATCTAGCTTATGTGCACTTTTTAAAACACTGCCCAGCAAACATTCGGACGTTTAATGACAGTTGAACGGTCACAACTGTAAAATACCTGAAATTAAGAAAAATTAACATGACATCTACTGCATTTTCCTTGCCCGGCCTCGAACCTGGATCCTACGGGGCGAGAGTCACCCGCTCTTCCAACTGAGCTATGCCAGCGACTACTTGACTAGCAGACTTTTTTATATAGATAGGTAGAGGGTAAAGTGCGGGGTACACTAACCAATCAGAGGACAGAGAAGATCTGCCACAGGCCACGCCTCCAGAGTGCCAAAACCCTTACAGCCGAGCGAGCAGGAGTCAGAAACCGAGCGCGCAGAGAGGCTGCCGAGCGCGCACAGAGGCTGCCGCGCGCGCACGTTTTCCTCTGCCGTGTGCTCGTTGACCACGCGCGCACGCAGGTTTGTCACTTGTGCACATCCTTGTGCGCTCACAGACACAGTTTGCTCCCTCTCAGTGCACAAATGACCTCTCGCCATGTATATTTCCGCTCGCGAGTCCCGTTCACACGCGCGCTGCCATGTATATTTTCGCTCGCGAGTCCCGTTCACACGCGCGCTGTGGACCCAATGCGCGTGCACGGGTTTTGACAGGGGTATGACGCGATACCCTCTCAGTGTACAAATGACCTCCTCGCCATGTATATTTTCACTCATGAGGTTCTAACCTCCACGCGCGAGTCCCGTTCGCACGCGCGATGTGCACAATACGCGTGCACGGGTTTTGGCTACGCTTGCACGGGTTTTGGCGGAAACCTGACACCATAACGCTGACAGTCCATACATATTGTAATATAGGCAGAAACTGGATCTTTCCCTGAAAGATATCTAGCCCCCCCATAATTCGATCCCTGCTTCTGGATGAAAAACCGGACATTTTGATCTATGTAGGAAACCCCCGGATGCCCTGGACAGAGAGTGAAAAGTGGACATGTCCGGGAGAAAGAGGACATATGGTCACCCTAGTTAAAGGATGTCAAAAGGTCCCAGATGGATGGCTAAAGGAGTCCATGAGCCTGGAGAAGGTCATGGCAAAGTGGTCTGAGGGATCATCAACGTGGATGTTAAAATAATCAACAATCACCAGTCTGGACAGCTTCACAATGGAAGATAAAAAGTAACTGAACTCCTGAAGGAAAGAACTGTTTGGATCAGATGGACGATAAACCACAGCACAGTAAAACGGGTCCTCATGCCCGACTTTAATCAGCTGCAGTTCAAAGAAAGCAAAGCGAACGGAGGTTGTAAGGTACGATTGCATCAGCCGAGTTACCAGATTTACAATTTATTACTGTAAAATTACAGTTATTATAAAATTACAGTAAGTAGCTGTTATTAACGGTCAGCTTTGCATTTAATAATTTAGTTTGTTAAATCCTTCAAGACGGAGAACCGCCACTTTTTCAAAAAGAGCGGTCATAACCACAGTTCACCGGCACGCGAGCAAGTGTGGGACATCGTACACGGGAAAGACTACCGGCAGCGCTTGTTAATTTCTCCAGCAAAAAGACCAAGTTCCAGCAAGTACCTACTATCCAAGGTAAACTTTTCATTTAAGCTTTTCAATGTGCTGTCTTTTTAGTGGAGTTTTGCTGTGGGTATGTGTGTTTTTGCCAACATTTCTATTAGCTTTTATGATTTCAGAGCTTTATTTAGAAGAGAACGGGACTTTGCGGATTTTTCTCATCACTTTTTTTCTTTGTTTTTTCTTCACACAAAAATAAAAGCTGACATTGTCTAAAACAATTTGTGGTCTTATCGTTTGAC